TCTTTCCCTTTTTCCATTTGACCAGCATGTAACTCAGGTCCTTGTTGCAGAAGTGACAACATTTTTTGTGCCCTTCCAAAACAATGTGATCTCACCAGAGAGATTACTCGCCCTGTGTCCAGCTTAGCTCTGACTTTCCAAACATGCTGAAGATCTCCTGGGCAAGGCTCATTACTAAGATTATGACCTCTTTGATATTTCTGGGATCATCATCTATAAAGCAACAAGATCTTTTTCAAGTTCCTTGATCCCTTTGTGCTAAGGTAACCTTGCCACCTATTTCAACTTTCTTTATACGCTTTTGAGAATTTGGGAAATGTGTATCTGAGGTACTCCTGAGAAGAAAAAAAGGCTTGCAGTTGAATCATAGAGCAAAGGGACACAAATCTACTTCTGTCACTCACTTTCTCTGCGCTAATCCAGTACAAGTACAGAAGTGTTTTAAACCAGCAGAGAAACTGAACAGAAAAAAAGGCAAAACAAATTCCATTGATCGATGGAAGTTGTTCTATCTCATATACTGGCACTGGTGAGGCTCCACCTGTAAAACCACGCTCAGTTTGGTGCCCCCTCACCCCCAAATTCAAGAGAGATGTGAAGAAGGGAATGGGGGACCAGCACACAGCTATAAAGGTGGCTAGGGCACACGTGAGCTGAGGCTTAGGAAGCTGGCTTTGTTGACTCCCACTAAGAGACAGCTGAGGAGGTATCTAGGAACAGCCCACAAGTACTTGAAGGGCAGTTACAGAGATGACAGAGCCAAACTCTTCTCTTCAGTGGCAGGCGAGACAGCAATGGCCACAAATTGAAGCCTGGGAGGTCCCAGCTGGGCATCAGAAGCAGCTTCCTCACTGGGAGGTGGTGCAGCACTGACACAGTCTGTTAGGGGCTTTAGAGACTTGAGGAGACATGGGCACAGCTGACCTGACCTGCTGGTGATGGTGAGAGCTCTGCTCTGAGTAGGAGGCTGGACTAGATAACCTTGAGAAGTCACTTCCAACCAACTTTAATATGATTCTCTGATCCTGTAAATATGAGGGTGATAACTGATGTATGTAGTTAACACTGTAATACAATCTTTTCAGAAGACTTGGGTAGTGTCTCAGTTAGCTCAGCAAATAAATATTCAGTGGTGTTAAAACTGGAAGAAGCCTACGGCAAAATGTCTTTATCATACTTGCAGAAGCCTATTTAGCATCTGCTACCATGAACATTTTCCTAGCTGCTTATTAATCTTTCTTATTAAGTTTTAACTAATTAGAAGCCATCGCACATCCTGCTGTTTCGTTATGGAGTTTCAGATTCCTTCCTCATTTTCTATTAATCTGTTGTCTTTGTAAGGGAAATTTATCTATTCTGTTCTGAAATATAGAGATTTCATTCCCCAGTTTTGTTTTGGTAGTTGATCAACTTCCAGAATTCATTATTAAATTCATCAGACTGCTTCAAATTATCAGATGTATTAACATGCTGCTTTTTAGATTGTTGAATAATTTTCTGTTTCATGGCATATTTAATAACAATTTTTCATAGTGCTTAAATATTGGTAAATTAGTCTCAATTTCCAGTATTTTATCTTATTCTTAATTAGCTTTTTCAACGAGAGTCATAATTTCTTAATCCAATAGAATACATGGTACAATGGTATCATGGACATTCATTTTTATATTCTAATATTTGGACTGCATATATCCATAGGTTTTCCACTTCAAAATGGAACACCTTAACACACATATAAAATAAGGGGAAGTTTGTGCAGTTGTAAAGGCATTCTGATTGTTGGTGTTTATTTCTATAAAGCAGAAAGGTATTTTCTAAATCAGATGGTATCTTATACGGAAAGTATATTCAGTTCACAAGGCTTGCTATTTGGTGTCGTTTAGCAGGAAGAGTTCATTTGTTTTAAGTTATATAGTCTAATAGGGTTCTGCTGTGCATATTTAGCTCATGTTTAACATTTTAGGTATAGTTTAGCCTTTTAAATCCTGTAAGTCTTGCTCTTCTGTCACAGCTTCTTCCAGCATGTGCTGTCACTTGATAATTATGTTTTGTA